AACGTGATAACATTTGCAGGTTGCAGTGATATTCTATCCTCAAAATTTCACTAATCAAATATAGACTTATCATCCCTTATTTCATCAATTGCACCAATTCACATGACCCTGTATCAAGTTTTTTAATCGAAATGAACATTATATATATGCAAATTAATAGGTTAATCAGGACACCTACTGCAGATTAATATACACCGTAAATGTTAAATAGAAACACCTTCGTAACATCATCCAGGTGAGGACAAACTATTTAAGTTCGCATGTATTCTTTGTCTAGGTAAAAGAACAGAACTCGTCTTCACATAGAACTCTCATCTTCACATAAACTCTGACACAATAATATAACAGAAATCTACGCGGAATAGTATTATGGCTAAATGTTACATAAACGAGACAAAAAAATGAAATCATCGTGTAACGGTAAACAAAACTATGAACAACTATCACCGTCAAATATTTCGTGTACAAACTGAATGCAATTTTTCGACATTGAGAGCAAACAACGTTTATCTTTCTTCGGATTTCATCCTTCAGTAAGTAGTAGGCCCATTTTAGCTTTTCACGCTGATGAGAAATTATGCATCTAGTGAGCTCAAAAGGATGAAGTGACATATCAACAAGATTGACTGATGAAGATCATTTATATACATTTGTTCAACTCACTCAGTTTTTCTTTAGAATCTTCTTCAGCATTTTCCTCTGATGATTCAGCTCCCGTATTCAGGAATGTCATCTTCCCAAACGATTCTTTTGCATCTCCAAAAAAATCCTTCACCTTATCCACAACAGTCTTGAGTTCATCCGGAGTTGGAAGCTGGAAAATTGCACCCGAAAGNGTAAGAAATGCTGGAAATTTGGGCAAAACCAATTAGTAGGTCCTCGTTGCTTCACAATTTTTGGGAAATTTAATGCACAAGGGATACTCAAAGAACATTATAAGATGCCAATAACGAACAAAATACCTCAATTACATCGTTTGCGGCCAGTGCAGACCTCAAATTGTTGTTTTCCTGTAAACATTCAAAGTGCAATGCATAAGATACTGAAAATGGCTCAAACATTTTTGACGACTCAAGTTTTTACGCAACAAAGAAGAGCTTATTAAAAACATTACAACAAGTTTGTAGCCGTATCGAAATTCTCTTGCCGACCGCAGCACACGAAACTGTTTCATGGCAATCTTCTGTATTTCCTTTTCGTCCTGTTTCCATAAAAGTTTACAAAAAAAAATACGCAATTCCTTTAATTGCAATAAAAATAGGATGAAAATGTAAAGAAAGTAATAGAGATGAACGCAAACAAAACCATCATAGCACAAAACTCACTCTATATATAACTGCTGCAAGATTTCTAGCCAGAGTGTCTTTGTAAATATATTTCCCAAGAAAATTGTCCTTTGCAGCAACCATGATTTTGGCGGTTGTGCCACCTGTAACGATATTAAGTGGGTACCAAAGATAGACCTGAAGAAAAGATAGTAAAAGTTTTCACAATTCAGAAACAGGACACTTCACAACATTTCAATTTGTCAAAGCATAATAATGTAGGCAACAGACTTATTACAGTTTGCAATCTGTATTGAGTTATCATATCTTATTGAGTTGCACACAAATCCAACATATTACTAAACTATAATCTCAATATAGGCGGCCATTATCAAAGTTGCAAGTTCCAACCTAAACTACTTTTCTTGCAATGAAAAAGATTGCTAAACAAAATTCTGACATAGTTGAGAGAGAGAGAAAGAGGACTAACATTAGCCATGCGAATGAAGATTACAAACTTTGGGTTGCCATCATCTTCAAGCTTGGGCAGTGGAGGAGGTTGGGCCCGCTGGTATTGCCGGGCCGCCATTCCTTTCTTACCTTTTGCTTCAACCACCATCGATTTATGCTGCTTTTGCCGGTGTAGCTTCTGGGCAGCTGTTGTTTTAATATTAGTCGAGAAAAGCGAGTGCCTGATCAGTAAGTCTTCATTTGATCTTGATAAGGGCAGCCTCAACAGAGGATTCAAAGACATTCCTACCTCCATAGCTTGAATCGGCCCAGAAATGAAGAAGGGATTTACTCAAATTCCGTTAGATTCTTTGTTCTTTGTGTTGTTATTTTGTTGGTGTTGGATTGTATGGGTCGCTGGCTAAACCTTATCCACAATTTTAGCACTATTTAATTTCTTGTTTTTTCCCGCTGAAATAATAAGAATACAAGACGAGAAAGACGATTCATGAACACAAGAATATGGATTTTCATCAAGTTTAATAGAGACAAATCCCCATTTTTATTTAGAAGTAGTTAAGTGTGTGTTACATGATTTATATTTTTATGTGATTTTAAATTATATATTTTATATTATATGATCATTTAATTATTTGTATAATTATTTTTAATGAATCAAACAAAATAAGTAATTAACTGTTAATTGATTTAATTTATATTTTCTATTTTATAATTTTATGGTCTTTTCTGATTTCTGTATTATTATTAATTAATCAAAGAAAAGAAGTATATTACATAATGAATTATGTCAAATATATATATATATAGGATGTGGTTCAAATGAGAACCAAGTCCTACCGTGAGAACCGCTATTTTTAGTTGTATCTAGTGCTATAATTGATTGTATTTTAGTGCTATTTTTAATCAGGATGTATTTTATTAAAAATAGCAACACAATTTATGTTAGCATTTGTAAATATGATAGCATCATGTAAGATTAAAAATAATATGATACACAATTGAAAGTAGCATTAAATATGGTTCTCACGGTTCTCACACCAGGATTAGTTTTTATTTGAACCAACCCCTATATATATATATATTAACGGAACAATAGAGATAGTATTAACTCAAAGCAAGAAACAGTGTTCAAGTACAACGAACCACACCCGAATAGCAAATTGAGAGGACACGCATAAAGCGGCCTAGAACAACCGAATAGAAAATCACACTCAACAACAGTCCCCCCACTGCCATAAGGCCTAGGGGGAGAAACAGAAAAACGAACTCTAAGCAAAGCAAAAGACTAACCTGACCAAATCTAATAATAACAACAAAACCAAACAAAAGAGCCAAGTCATGCATACACCTAGGATTTAGAGAACTCCTGTCAATCTTGAAGAGACAAATTAATCAGCAAATGAGCAGGAAGTGTTATCTTCTGAAAGATCCAAATATTGCGGCATTTCCACAACCACCAAAGCAAGTAGGTGGTGAGTTGGATGCGGGCTTCAGCAATATCAGTATATCATAAGGAACAATGAAGCCCCACCAGTTTTTGAAAGATCCTGCAGATTGTAATCCATCCCAGCTAACTGGTGATAAATCCCACACTCTGACTGCTTTGGGGCAATGGATAAAGATATGTTCGACTGTTTTAGGAGCTTCCCCACAGCATTGGCAAATCACATCCATATCAATGCCTCTCCTATGAAATTTAATTTATACATGCAGTGAACCAGTAACACATTTCCAAAGAAAATGTTTAACCATACCTGAGATTTCAATTTCCAGAATCTGTATATGGAAGAGCAGTTTGTGTTGGTGCTGCTGCAGGGTAAATCCAGAGTGAGAAGCTTTTGCCTTGAAAGGAATGAATAAGTGCTGGCCACTAAAAAGACACCCTTCTTATCATGTTTCCAATATTGTCTGTCTGAGCAGCCTGGTTTTAAGGTGTTGATGTTGAGAATGGCCTTACTGTCAGCTTCATTGAAAAGTTGCTCACAAGCAATCATTCCAACCCAGTCCAGTGGCATTAAGAAGTTCTTTGACCCAAATAATGAGACCCCTAGCAATATCCAGAAGGAATGGTTTTGGATGTAACAAGGATGGAACCCAATTCACTTCATCTATTCTAGTTGACTCACCATTTCTGATTTCCATTGAATATCCCCTGGCAAATATAGGGAGAACTTCCAGCTAGTTATACCAAAGCCAAGAACATTTTTTAGATTTCACTGCATCAAATATGGAACAATCAGGGAAGTACCTGTCCTTCAATATTCTGCTTACTAGAGAGTGGGGTTGAGTAGTTATTCTCCAAAGTTGCTTGCAAATCAGAGCTAAATTGAAGTTTTTGATATCAATGAATCCCAAGCCTTCATTCTCTTTAGGCAGAGTGAGATGACTTCATTTTTTCCAATGTATGCCTCTGACATGATCCTCACCTTTACTCCACCAGAAGTGAGAGCACAATTTGATGATTTCTGCACAGAGAGTAGATGGTAATCTAAAGCAAGACATTGAGTAGACCGGAGAGATTGAATCACAGCCTTGAGTAGAACCTCTTTGCCAACTTGTGAGAGGAGTTTAGGCTTCCAACTGTAAAGTTTGGATTTAACAGAGTCCAGAACAAATTGAAAGGCCTGCAATTTTGAACTGCCAATTCCAAGGGAAAGGCCTAAATATCTTGTGGATTTATGGGTTGTGATCCCCATGAAGAGCAACACAAACTCTACCTTCAACTGAGGAGGGGTACTCTTGCTAAAAAAGATGGCTGATTTTTGTAAGTTCACCCTCTGACTTGTGAATAGCCTATATCTTTCCAAGAGATTGAGAATTGTGGCTTGATCAACACTTGCCTTGCAGAAGAAAAGTGAATCATCTGGAAAGAGCAGATGAGAGATAGTAGGTCCATTTCTAGATAACTTCAAGCTAATTAAATGTCCTAAATCAACAACATTGGAGACTAAGCAGAGAGCATTTCAGCAACAATGATGAACAAATATGGGGAAAGTGGATCTCCTTGCCTTATGCCCCTTGAAGGTATCACATAACAACAAATTGAGCCATTACCTTGAAAGAGAAAGAACTATAAGAGATACAGATCATAATCAAATCCACAAATTCCTGTTGAAAGCCCATTTGGAGCATAATCTTCTTGATACAGAGCCATTCAACTCTATCAAATGCTTTCATCAGGTCCAGTTTTAATGCCATGAAATGATTTTCCCAGAGGAGTGTCTATTAAGAAAGTGGAATGCTTCCTGACCAATTATGACATTATCAAAAATCTGTCTCTCTTTGAGGAAGGCAGACTGGGAATGACTTATGCAGGTATCCTAACAGGTTTGAAGTCTCAGAGAAAGAGCCTTTGATGGGATTTTATAAGCTACAGTACAAAGGCTAATGGGTCTGTATTGAGAGAGGTATTCAGGGCTGGTGCATTTGGGGATAAGGGTTAAAATTGTATGGTTCCAGTATTTCAGTAAAGAGCATTTTTCAAGAAAAAAAACTGGTAATGGTAGCAATCAAATCAGGTTTAATCAATTCCCAAAAAGATTGGTAGAAAAGAGCAGTCATACCATCTTCTCCGGGAGATTTCTCTGGGCTTAGGCTGAAAAGAGCTTTGTGTATCTCCTCTTCTGCGAATGTTTCAAGAGAACTTGATTCATATCTGAGGTAATTGAGGGTTGAATGAGGGGCAGCATAGAATCACCTCCCTAGGATCCCTCCGAAGAAAATAAGTTGGAGTATAAGTCTGAAAGGTGAGCTTGGATCTCTTGTTGAGTTGTGCAGGCCCTGTGCTGATTGATTAGGAGCCTTGAAATGGCATTCTGTCTTCTTCTGTGAAGGGTGAGAGCATGAAAAAATTTCGTATTACGATCTCCCTCTTTGATCCATTGAGCTTTGGCTTTCTGCTGCCAGAATTGCTCTTCCATATGGTGAGCTGCTTCCAATTCCTGCCTAGTTGAATTCCATTCCTCCCATTTTCCATCTAATCCGCTCTCCTGAAGCATGGTCAATTTTTTGTTTAGATTAGCAATCTGAGATTCCTGTTGGGTTCTGAATTTAGCACTCCAATGCAGAAGTGCTTGTCTAATGTGCTCGATTTTTTCTTTGAGCTGGAAGAAGGGAGTGCCCCTTAGTTGGATTCCCCAAGCATTTCTCACCACCTCCTTAATGCCATCCCTAGTGAGTCATCTTTTATCAAAATGAAAGCGGTTCTTGATTTTGTCTTGTTGGGTCCCTGAGTTAAGCAATAGAAGAGAGTGATCAGAGCTGCTTCTTGCCACATTTGTAATAAATGCCATGGGAAAGTCAGCCAACCAATCTATAGAGCCAAAGCCTCGATCCAATTTTTCCTCCACTAACCCTTCTGAGAATTTGTTATTACACCATGTAACACTGTAGCCTTCCATTTTACTTTCCACCATGGCCATTCTGTTGCTGAAATATCTAAAACCCATAAAGCTTGTAGCTGACCTCCTTATGCCTCACTTTTTGTCCTCATTGGAGAGTAAATCATTCCAGTCCCCTATCAAAAACCATTTTGAACCCCAATGAGTCATATCCAATTCCAGTTGGTGCCATTGTTCATTTCTAGTGGCAGTGCAAGTGCTTAAATAAACAAAAACTCCCCATGTCTTACTACCATTATCCTGAGAGTATTCAACTGCTTTGTAGAAGTTCTTACTGATGAGATTGTGGATTTGAACCTTCAATGACCAGAGCTATAGAAGACCTCCACTCGAGCCAATGGGATCCACTATGGAAAATCTCGTATCATAACTAAGTTTTCTAATCACAGATTTCACAAAACCATTATGTTTCTTAGTTTTAGAAAGAAAATAGAAATTTGGGTGGTGAGTTTTGGATAACTCTCTGATTTCGAAAACTGTAGAGGGCCTACCCAGCCCTCTACAGTTCCACACCGCCGCTATCAATGATCATTTGAGTGCCATTCGAGACTGGCCACCCCCACCTTTTCAGTTGAGCATTTCAGTTTTTTGCTATCCTCTTGGTTAAGTGGCTGATCTTCAATGTCTGTGATAGCAGTATCATTTTCCTCTCTGATTTTTTTTTTCCAGTAATGACTAGCTTCCTCTGAGTTGGTTCTACTTCTTGCCTCTGTTATCTTCCTACTTTGGTAAGAGATCTTTTCCACAGTTTGGTTGTAGGTTTCTGAGGATTTTTGTTGGGCTGGTAAGCTTTAAGGACTGAGGGTAATTCTATGTCCATGTCTTTAGGGATGTCAAAGGTAGGCACACAGGGTTCAGAGACTATCAATGCTAGAGTAGTTAATTTGTTGTCAATGGTAGATGCACAAGTATCCTGATTTATGGTGTTTGGAGAATGGCTTGAGGATTGTCCTTCCTTTGAGAGAAGAGGGTCTGGGTTATCCATATTGTTTTGAGGAGTTTCTATAAATAAAGGTGGCAACTGTTGGCTATCCTCCACATGA